GGGAGGCAGGCTGGAGCTGGGTCCTGAAGTGGTAACAGCAACTAACACTTCCTGGGGGTGAGTGAGGCCAGGAATGCGCTGCGTGCGTGGCTGACCTGGGTTATGTCAGGGCATCATCACAAATGCAGCCTGGCACGGGCAGGGGCAGGGCCGGATGTCTGCAGGGGAGCTGCAGAGCCCATCCTGTTGGAGGACAGGAGGGCGGCCTGGGGCCAGGGCAGCCTGGTGGGCAGCGGCCGGGTGAGAGACGCAGTGGTGGCATGAACCCAGTGGCCAAAGCTGGCGTGTTCCACCTCTCTGGAGAAGCCTCACGTCAGTCTGCTGGGTGGTGTCCCCGGGGTGTGAGCTCAGGCACCGTGAGGGACCTCATGCCACGAGTCAGCCTGGCCGGACGTCCATCCTGGAAATCATCCTTGCTTCAGGGGAGGTGGGACACTGACCATCTCATAGCAGAGGCGTGCCCAGGCTGTCAGACAAGCAAGCAGCTTCCGGAGGTCCGTCTCTTCTGAGACACATCAGGGCCCTGCCCAGCCTGGAAGGCACGGGTCAGTGGCACTGGCACAGTGATGCTAGTTTGCCCCAGGGCAGCACGAGAGAGTCACCCTTCCGTCTGCAGACCTCCCCTGCTCTTCTGGGTCCTCTCGGGATTCGGTGCCACTCCCTACCCTATGCCTCGGTCTCTGCCCACCTCTGCCGACCTCTGCAAAGCTCAGCCAAGGAGACGGCAGTGTCAGGAAAGAGCCTGGGCTGGTGCCTGGGTGCTGCGCATCTGAGCTGGGCAGGAAAGCACAGCGGACCTGCCCGAGGCGCACGTGTCCAGTCCAGCTGGCTTCTGATGGTCAGTGCCCTGAGCCGGTGTGGTTTTTTTCTTGAAATGAAAACTCTGTGCTTATAGGAAGAAAGGATGTAAAAAGAAGGAGACCCAGGTTCCAGTCTCTGCCCTGCTGTGGTAGCCACGGGCTCGTACACTGATTTCTCTGGGCTTCTGGTCTCTTCTGCAAGATGAGACTGACAGCTTAGCTTGTTGTGACAATTATGATAACGAATATGAAGCCTCTTGTAAAACCTCATTGAAGTATTACTATTGGTACTAATTTGCCTTCTCCCCTCTGGAGGAAAAGAAAGAAAAAAAGTCTCTAGGAATGTTTTGTCCAGGCCCTGAGCCAGGCTGTGACGGACAGTCTCTCTTTCACCCTTACAGGGACAGCTGTCAGGGTTGCTGAGAGGACGAGGCAGCTACGGCTCCGAGCGGTAAAGTGACCGCTGTGGGCCACTTGGCCTGCTGGCTGTGTGCATGTTCTCTGTGACCACACGGCCTCCTGGTGGTGGCCATGTTCACCACCAGGAGGGCCCCTGAGGGTCTGCAGTGACCACGGCTCCTGGGTGGGGGCCACTGCATGGTGGTCGCTGGAGGCTCAGCCTGGGGAGGCGCGCTGCCTGCTTGGGGTGCTGTCTCCCTGTGGCTTCCTGCGCTGCAGCACCTTGGAGATTTTTTCCAAAACATCTAAGTTTGTTTTCATGAACAGAGACGTCAGCATGGCCTTCCCCCAGCAGCAGAGCGTCATGAGGTCTCTGAGGGCGGCCGACGCTGACCCTGGTGCCCCAGAGCTGCCCTTTCTCCCTCGGCTGCTTCTCCCTGGTTCTGGAGTGTTCTCGAATCTGCAGGCTGGAATGAGGCTGTGCAGGGAGAGGTCAGCCTGGGCCTTGAGCTGCCAGCCTGACCCCGGTGGGTGACCACCCTCTTAAAGCCCTGTTTGGAGCGGCCCCTGTCCCCGTGGGCTGTAGCAAACGGGCAGGATATGGTGATTCATCCGATTCTGAGAGGAAGGATTTTGTAAAGGAATTTTCTCACGGCTGCGTGGCTGAGCCTGGGGTATTAAAAATACTTTTTCTGGCTGTCGTGGGTTAGAAAGCTTGAGTCTGAATGAGAAAGCTTGAGTTATCCACTTGGGAGATTTGTTCATCTTATTCATTATTTTAAAAATCTTGTGTTAAGGAAATTTTTTTTTTTTTCTGAAGTAAGACTGCTACCCAGTCTGAAGGAGGTGAGAAGAGGGGACCTCGGAGGCAACCCAGAGAGGGCTTCTCTGCCTTGTGGGCGCAGGGCGGCCACCCCAAGTTTGAAGTGTGGGCTGGCACCAGGAGCCGCTCTTCTCGCCCCGAGCCTTCCTCCCTAGGGCCGGCCCCTGCGTCCTGGCCGGAGGTCTCCTTGGCTTGGCAGCATCGCCCTGTGAGATCTGGGCCCCGGACTTGGTGGCAAAGAACGGCCTGCACGGCCCTCTCCTCCCACCCTGCGGGTTGCCAAGGTCCTTCGGGCCCTGTGGACGTTGCTGCGTGGGAGGGGCCTGGGAGTCCTTTCCTCAGCTGAGGAAGTTTAGATATTTGGGGGAGTTCTAAGAAACCGAGGTCTGGGGGGTTCCTGAGAAAAATGTTTAGAAACAGATGAGCTCACTGGGAGGGAGTTCTCCAGTGGGTGGGGCCTGTGAGACCCAAGTCACCCCCCAGCGCGCGGCCCACAGGCAGCCTTTTGCCCCCACGTCCCTGCAGCCTGAGTGCAGCTGGGGAGGGAGGGGGACTCTGTGAGTCAACCTCGCAGGGGACACAGGCAGCACGGCCCTCTGGCCAACCTGGGAATGGACCCGTCCCCTTCCCTCCAGCCTTCTTCCCAGGCCTCTCTGTGCTCCCTTCTGTTCCGACCTTTGCCCTCAGAGGTGAGGTCTGACGAGGGCCAGAAAGTGTCAAGACTATAGGCAGCTTCGAGATGAGTCAGTCCCCCCTCGGCTCCTCCGTGACGAGACTGGCACTTGGGGGGTCCCCGGCTAGCAGGGGGCGGTGCCACAGTCCAGGCCTCTCTGTCGTTGATTTATCACACTGCATGCATGTACAGGTGGAAAGCAAAAGTGGATTTGGGTTCTTGAGTGCGCGCCGTTCAATGAAAGGATACTGTTCTGCACAACTGAGCCCCGGGCAGGAACCAGACCTGAGCCGAGGGTGGTGTTGGTGTGAAACTTTCTGCCGTCCTTGCGCCCTGGCGGCACACGCAGCAGGTTTGGGTTTCTGAGGTGGACACTCAATAGGCTGTGACAACAGCCATTCCTGACACAGGCTCAGCACCTCACATTTGACAGGCTGGTCCTGTCATCCCCCTGAGGTGGCCAGCCAGACCTGTTGGTGGAGGGTAGGAAGACCTGGAGCTCAGAGCTCTGTGCCCAGCCTAGTGTGACAACGCAGGCTGGTTGTGTTCAGGGTCAGGGTCAGAGAGCCTGCCCAGTGTGGAACCCCTGGTTCCAGGCCGCTGACACTGGTGGCTGTGGAGTCCAGCCCTGTGGCTCCTCTGAGTGCAGCGTTTCACTTGCCCTGTAGGACCTACAGCCCCATAAGCCTGGGGACCCTCAGCCCGGTGGCTGCTGTACCCGGACCCCATGTGGGCTTTGGCAGAGTGCCGCTGCTCATTGAGGGTTCCTGGGGGCAGCCTGACCTTGTGGACCAGCTTCTTCCACCATGTACTTGGGGGTGGCCAGCTTGCCCAGGCCCACAGGCCTCACAGGAGGGTGGCCTCGGGGCCAGACTGGCTTTGGGCCCCTTCTGCGGTGACTCGCTGGATATGAATCGGCAGCTCCTCAGATGATCAAGTGTTGAAGGGGTAGCCCGAGGCCATGCTGATACTGACTACTTGGACTGGGGTGGGCTGTGATGCCCCGCAGAAGGGGCAGAAATGTTGAAATCGCCCACTTGTCCCACGAATGGCACAGGCACTCAGGGCCCAAGACTCAAACAGGCTGTCAGTCACTGGAACCAGCCTCCCTGAAGCTTGTGAAACCTATACCTGCTGACCTGATGTCCAGCCCACTGCCCTACTCAGTAACTCATTACTCAGTGGGCCTTTGTTGGTGCCCCTGGGCTCAGCCCTGGGCACCAGGTCAGACCGTGCAGGAACTTGGTAGTGGGTGTGGTGGGTCCTTAGGGTGGGTGTTGATTAACCCTGATGAAACTTAGAGGGCATACAGTGTGACCCTGAGTAACCAGAATTTAACATCCGAGTTCGCCTCCCATTCACACCATGGTCTGGGAGAAGTGGGAAGAACTAGAACCTCATCCAGCCCCAACAGAGGTCCAGTCAGGGTCCAAGGCTGAAGTGGGCAGTGGCCTATGCCAAGAAATCAGGTATGGTTTGCATGCGAGGTCCATGTCCAAGGTCTTCTCCAGCAGGAGGGGATCAGATCTGCAGTGCCAACAGCCTGCTGGAGTGGGCGTTGGGGAGGGCCACAGACACGGAGGGGAGCCTGCAGGGGCATGGGACAGAGGAACGGGCTCTCCGTGCCCAAGGAAGCCCTTTGTGCCAGTGCCCTGAGCTCCCGGGACAAATGTAAAGCCCACAACCCCCGCTTCCTGAGCTTCAGTTCCTCATGGGACCTGGCTCCTGGCCCAGCCACCCCTCTCCTGAGGATGCATGTGAGCCCCAGGAACCTGTGAACTGGCGGCAGTGTGTAGGGTAGCATGTGACTCCTAAATCAGTCTAGGACCTCCTTGGGTCTCCTCTGACATCCCCCACGACCTGCGGCTTTTAGGGTTACACTCCCCCAGCTGGTGGACCTGGGCTTTCTCCACCCTCCTCCCCAGCTAATCCGCGCCCAAGTGCACCTAATAAGCGCTCAGTAAGGGGTGGTTGAGCAAATGAGTGACTGAATGAATGGGTAGCAGAGGGACTGCTGGGGCCTCACAGGCAGGTGCAATTGGCCAGCTTGGCTACAGTGTGACGTAGGAGGGGAGAGCAGCAGCCCTCCGAGAGCCTTCTAAGCCTGGAGCCACACCCTTGGCCACGGTGGGGTAGGGTACTGCAGGGACCTAAATGTTGTATTGAAATCAGAGGCTCAGCTGGGGCCCTCTCTGGACACTGGGCAGCTTGAGGTATGATTTAAGTCACCGCCCCTCCATCTCCCTCGTCCCCCTCTCCCAGAGACATGCCTTCACCACTGTCCTTTCCTCTCCCTGGGGCACAGATCCTGGCCAACGTCTTCCTTTACCTGTGCGCCATCATCGTGGGCATCATGTCCTACTACATGGCAGACCGCAAGCACCGCAAGGCCTTCCTGGAGGCCCACCAGTCGCTGGAGGTGAAGATGAACCTGGAGGAGCAGAGCCAGCAGCAGGTGAGGTTCTCTGGGGCGGCCTGGGGTCAGAGACTGGTGGGGAGGGAGTGGGGACAGAGTGTAGCCAAAGCTACGGCTCCCAGGGGCCTTGGCAGTCATCCATCAAGGTCACGTCGCCGCTGCCTGACTGGTCCCATGGGTCCCTTGCCCTAGAAGGGCTCCTCCCGACTTCAGGGAGCTTCTCTGGTTGGGAACTTGTTCCTGCCTCTCCTTCTCTGAGCTTGACCTAAGCCTCCCTCTTCCCCTTTTCCTGCCTTTTTAAAAATCTTGTAATATAAAACTTTTCTTTTTAAAGAAATACAACACCTCCAGCAGCCACCTTTCCCAGGTGAAAATATCCTATACATTTGAATGCTTTTACTCCATGGGCATGCTTGTTAGTCCCCCTGGCCTCCCTCTACTGCTGTTTCAAGGTCAAGGGCAGATTCACACGTGCACCTACTGTGCATACAGAGCCGCTCTCCCCGCGGCGGGGACCCATCTCCCGGCCTCAAGGCCCTTCTGAGTGAAGTCCATTAGCTCAGAACACTGTGTCCTGCATGCTCAGGGCAGCCTCCCCACTTCTCCCTCCAAGTCGTTTCTCAAGGAGTAAAACCAGCTCCATTTCCCGGAAGCCCACCGTTTACATTTTTCTATCGCGAGAAGTGCCCGCAGTCCCGCAGTTTGTTTACTGGCTGGACTTCCGCCGCCGGGCTCACCGCGGAGCCTCCCGGTTCTCACGAGACTCCTTCTTTCGCGTCATGTTTGGTCTGGATTCGTCTCAGATGCTTTCTGAGGGTCCCCAAAAATGATGCCCATCAACTTCCTGTTATCCATAGGTTACTTCCCCTTCACACGCGAACGCAGTAAGTGGAACATGTATGATTCTCTGCTCCGGGAGCCATTTTGTTATGTGTTCATGGGGTGCCGCGTGCTCTGGGGTCGTGACGGTGCCATTTTCGTAGGCCGCGGAGCCCCTCACCGCGGAGCCTCTCAGGTGGACAGGGCTTTGTGTTTTTTTCCCCCTGCCGGTGGGGGGCCCGTTGGCGGGCCTCCCTTCTCTAGACAGCTCTTTGAAGGCTCACACTGACCCGGTCAGCAGATGGGCCTCAGCTTCCTGTGTCCCGGGGATGTGTTTTTTCTCCCTGTTTACCAGTGAGATCTGGAAACTTCTGAACTAATTTCTCCCCGAAGGCGGGTTCCAGAAAGGGACTGTCCCTGGTCTTCATTGCGACAAAGGGTCAGGCCCAGCTCACCATACTTGGCCCTTTCTCCTTGGCCTGTGTACTGCGGTTACTCTGAGCTTGATCTGAACCTCGCTGTTTTTCTTTTTCTGCCCCTCCCCCCTTTTTGGGCCCCTGTGATTTAAAACTCCTCTTTTCAAAGGAACACATCATCCCAGCAGTTCCCAGCGACTCCCCGCACTTTTGCTGGCGGTCAGACACGCCACTGCTCCTCACACGATCGCGTTGGTTTCCTCTGGTTGCTTCCACGGTTTTCTTTCCGTGTTTTTTTTTTTTAGCAGTTTGATGACTTTGGGCCGAGGCGTTTTCTTCGTAGTTACTCTGCCTGGTATTTGAAGAGCTCGAACTGATGGTTCTATGATTTCGTCAGTTGTGAAAGTGTTCAGCCAGTAGCTTTTGCTGCTTTTGTCCCATCCTCTCCTTTTTTTTTTTCCTAGGACCCTAGACGTCCTTATTAGACATTTTTACTATGTTCCATAAATCTTTGTGTTTTTTCCTGCTGCCGAGGCTTAAGTGTAATTAAAGAATCCGCTTTACTGTGTCCCTCGGAAGACATTCTTCAGCTTCCGTTTTCCATTCTGCTCTGCCTCTTGTTTCCGTCTGTGCTCTGGTACTAGGGGCCTGTTCCTCTGGGTTCTTTACACTGAAAAAAAAAATGCATGTCACCACTTGGCTAAGTCAGGAGTTTTTTTTTTTTTTTAAATACAGTCTTTGTGCAGTTTTCAGTGTTTTCTGTCTGTGCCAGTCTTGTCTGACTCATAATGTATAATCTAGGACACCTTCCGTCACACTGAACAGTGCTGGGTGGGGCCCCCCTGGCGGAGTGAGGAAGGCCCCCTGGGTCCCACCCTGGGCCTGTGCATTCCTAAGTAAATGGAGGATGAGTTATCCACCCCTCAGAGCCTCACTCTTCTCATCTGCAAGGTTGGGGGTGTTGATACTGCAAAGTGCAGGTACTGGTACTTGGTGCGCAGGGTTCCCTGTGTCCAGTGAGAAACACAGGCAGACGCCCTTTGTCACCTGTGGAGCATGGACACCTGATGGTCAGGCTGCAGAGCCTGGGCCATCTCGTCCACTCTCTGATGCCTCGGGCTGTGTGCTTCCTCTGGACAGGTCAGTGCAGGGAACCTGGGCTTGGCAGAGGGGGCCACCCTCTGTGACTCCTGAACCGTGTCGGGCAGCCCAGGTTGCCCGCAGTCTGCCCAGGGCTGCAGCAGAGCAGACACTGGCCCCAGGAATGAGAGGTCTGGAGAGGCAGAAGGGAGGTGCAGGGGAGGGGGCACAGACCCACATTCGCAGGCCCAGCTGGGCCCCCGTGGGTGCCTGTACATGTCCCTCAAGTGCAGTGACTTCATCTAGCCAGCTGTAGCTTGTGAGTGACCTCAGGCTAGTTCCTGTACTTATTTGGGCCTCAGTTTCCCTATGTGTGAAGTGTAGATGATAATAAAACCACTGAATAAAATGGGTCATATGTGTAAGACCCTTTAAAAATGAGAAAAGCTCTGCCCTGGCTGATGTAGCTCAGTGGATTGAGCGCCAGCCTGCAAACCCAAGGATCGAGGTTTGGTTCCCAGTCAGGGCACATGCCTGGGTTGCAGGCCAGTTCCCAGCAGGGGGCACATGAGAGGCAAACACACATTGATATTTCTCCCCTGCTCTCCTTCCCTTCCCCTCTAAAGATAAATAAATACAATCTTTAAAAAAATGAGAAAAGCTCTGTTACCATTGGGAAGGGTGGAATTCTCCCCCCACCCTGTCAGTTTCCATTGGCTTGTATTTTCCTTAGGACTTTTGTGTCTGTGTCCACAAGAGAGATTTGTTTGCCCTTTTAGCTTTCTTTTGGTGACCTTGACAGGTTTGGGGATTGTAGTCATGCCAGACTCATGAAATAGTTTGAGATGCATTCCTTCTCTCTGGTCCCTGGAAGAGTTTGAGGGTGATTGGGCTCTTCTTTAAATATTCAGATGCATTCACTAGTGAAACCCTATGGGTCTCAAGTTTCTTTATGAGAACAATTTCCTTCACAGATACAAGGTTTTTCATAGTTCTCTTTACATGTGGGAAAGTTGTTTTTTCAGGAACTTGTCCGTTTTGTCAGATACAGAACTCTCGGTTGATGGGTTTTCACTCCCCACCCTTCGAAGGTGTCATTCCATTGTCCTGTGGGAAAGCCAGTGGTCAGACGCACTGCTGCCCCTTTAAAAGTATTTGCATGTTTTTTTTCTCCAGTTGCTTCACAACTTTCTCTTTGGTTTTTAGCAGTTTTACAACAGTGGGCCCAGGAGTTTTCTTTGTAGTTACTCTGCCTGGAATTCAAAGAGCTTCTTGGATTGATGGTTTGATGACTTTCATCAGTTTTGCAAATTTTCAGCTGTTGTGTCCCTGTTCTGGGCGCCAGATGTTGCAGACCCTGGCCAGCAGAGTCCACCTGTTGTGGTATACGATGAGAATCAGTGCACAGGCGACAACAACCCTGTGTGGAAAAAGGGAGCAGGCACGACTACTCTCTCAAGGGGAGAGTGCTAATGGTGCCTTGGCCACTCCCTCAAGAGGGAGCGCCCGGACCCTTGCCTAGACAGGCTTTTATTGTTTTCCTTGGGTCTTACATCAAAGAAAGATTTATTATCTATCACACAGAGCATTATTATCTACATTCTAGGTACAATCAAGGAAATAGAAATAGCATGCAGAGGGGGATGGCAGTGAGCTCATTAGCTCTGTCCTTGGGAGAGCTCTCACGGGTTTTGGCAGTTACCTTGAGGATAAACAATATACATTTGTTGCTTTAGACCAGGGTGAGGGAGTTTTAGCGAGAGCAAGCCACAACAGTCTGTAAGTATTTTCTAGGCCTGATTCCCACAGGAAAACTCAGTTTGAAGGTCTGGCTCTTGCCCACTACTTCGCATCTGTAGGTTTTCCATACAGAGCTGAGTCACATTTGCCAGGCCAAGACAAACCGGTCCCCTACATTCTGCCAGTAACTTTTGTCGCTTCTGTCTCACTGTCTCCCTTCCTTCTAGGACTAGACATCTTCACTGGGCATCTTTACCCTGCATCTTTCTTTTTCTAAAGTTGCTGTGAATCACATAGAACTTTTTACTGACTTCACTTCCAGTTTGCTAATCCTCTCTTCTGCTTTGTTAAATCAGTGGTTGAGCTCCAATTCACATCAGTGGTAGAATCTCTAATTTCTGTTATTGTGTTTTTTGTTATTCTAGTATGTCCATTTCATTTTTTTAAAAATATTTTATTTATTTATTTTTAGAGAGAGGGGAAGGGAAGGAGAAAGAGTGGGAGAGAAACATCAATGTGTGGTTGCCTCTCGTGAGTCCCCTGCTGGGAACTGGCCTGCAACCCAGGCATGTGCCCTGACTGGGAATCGAACCACGATACTATGGTTCACAGGCCCGCGCTCAATCCACTGAGCTACGCCAGCCAGGGCTGTCCATTTCTTTTTTTTTTTTTTTTTTTTTAAGATTTATTTATTTATCTTCAGAGGGGAAGGGAAGGAGAGAGAGAGAGAAACATCAATGTATGGTTGCCTTTCATGCGTCCCCTGCTGGGAACTGGCCTGCAGGGAACTGGCCTGCAACCCCAGTATGTGCCCTGACTGGGAGTCGAACCACGATTGTCTGGTTTGCAGGCCCGCGCTCAATCCATTGAGCTACACCAGCCAGGGCCATTTCATTTTTTAAAAGTATTGTATTTATTTGTTTTTAGACAGACGGGAGTAGGGAGGGAGAAAGAAAGGGGTAAAAACATCAATATGTGGTTGCC